CTTAGAGCCCCTTTTCGCTGTTTTCGCGCTCTCTAGTGTGGATTTTCGAATTCAGCATAGTGAATAGGTACTCTCCAGTGTGGATTTTCGGATTCAGCATAGCGAATAGGTCCGGGTAAGCACAAAATCTCAAAATCGAATTTTTGCCCGGACACTGCCTTTAAAGGCAGTGTCCACCCAAAAAGTCGAATCTGAGATTTTGTGCTTATCCGGGCCTATTCGCTATGCTGAATCCACGGCGAAAAAGGGCTCTAACGCGGGACGGAATCAGCAAGTGGGCGGGGTCCTCCGCACTGCCGTTTCACCCAGCAAGTGGGCGGGGTCCTCCGCACTGCCGTTTCACGCTTCCAGCCTGGAGCGATCTCCTTGTTTCCGATCTCAAGTCACTCGTTCGCGGCGATCTTCATTTCGCTAAGCCAACCTGACGTCTCCACTGGTTAAGTGCGAACGAGTGACTTGAAATCGGAAACAAGGAGATAGCTCCGGAAGCTGGAAGCGTGAAACGGCAATGCGGAAGACCTCACTCCGGAAGCTGGAAGCGTGAAAGGCAGTGCGGAGGACCCCGGAAGCTGGAAGCGTGAAACAGCAATGCGGAGGACCCCGCCCACTTGCTGATTTCCGTCCCGCATCCCTTCTTTTTCGCCGTTTTCGCGCTCTCTAGTGTGGATTTTCAGCCACGCCCACTTGCTGATTTCCGTCCCGCTTTAGAGCCCGCCGTTTTCGCGCTCTCTAGAGTGGATTTTCGGATTCAGCATGTCGTTTTCGCTGCATTAGAGCCCTTTTTCGCCGTTTTCGCGCTCTCTAGTGTGGATCTTCGGATTCAGCCGCACTAGAGAGCTTTTTCGCGTTTTCGCGCTCTCTAGTGTGGATTTTCGGATTCAGCAGTAGAAATAGGCCCGGGTAAGAGTGCGGATTTTCGGATTCAGCATAGTGAATAGGCCAAAATCTCAAAATCGAGTTTTTGCCCGGACACTGCCTTTATAGGCAGTAAATGACAAAATGCAGAGAAGCAATAGAAACGAATCGTATAAAATAATGTAATATAGGAACCGACCTTATCAAATTGGGCTTGCTCGAACCGCGAAGGCCAGCCTTCCATAACAATGTCCTCTGTCCATTGTTGTCGTTGAACTGCTTTGCTAATCGCTGGCTCTCTCCCAATGCATCGCAAAGGCTACAAATAATTTATCGCTGTCACAAAACTGTAAACGGTCCACTACTTTGACGCACCTCAGTAAAAGAATGGGATCCATGGTACTGAACAAACCTTTGCTGACAGTGTTATTGTAGTCTGAACCATTGGGCTGTTCAGACTTCATCGCTGGTATGCTCAGAACTATTTCATCTAAACTCATTCACTTGATAAAAAGTTTTTCATGGAAAAATGGATGCACCTGTGCTTTTCTTCGCTCCTAGAACTATAGACGTAACCGCATCCACCAGTTCTGACTGCACTACACAGAAAACAATTTGTTCAGAGAACACAGCGTCGGGATGGATTGACCTGAAGATAGAAGAGGATGATTCACAGAACATCGATGTTCAAAAAATTATTGAGGTTACCCATTAGGTCGTCCGTCAATGCTCGGAACTTTGCCATCAAGCTCCTCGTTGTTTGAGTCATTTACAGCACCCGAAGCAGGTCGATCTGGTTCCCAAGTCAACAGGCTAAATGAGATATTGAGATCAAGATCACATGCAACTTTTCCGTAATGAACTCACGATTTCGGTAGTGTAGCTGCAAAAAGACGTCGGAAAAGTTTGACCGTTTTCTCCCACATGTCATCGGTGAATCGTTCGCCATTGAGCAAAATCAGAGTCTCCAAACAGTTAACCGTAGATCGTGCTAGCTGCTCGTTTTCTTAACATCAGACTTCTACTAGTCTCTCAAATCGACTACGCAATTAGCATTTGCAAAAGACAACATACTCTGTTGTATACAAACGGCGAACTGTTCGTAGATAGATGGTAAAACTAGCTCGCTGAGTTGTGGGAAGAACTGTGTGAATACATCAACTATTGCGTACATTGCGTGGTTACAAGTTGTCATCATCCATTCCTTTTTCTGAGAAAAACAAGAATAGATTTGAAGGCAGTGTCCGGGCAAAAACTCAATTTTGAGATTTCTAAAGGCAGTGTCCGGGCAAAAACTCGATTTTGAGATTTTGGCTTATCGGCCCTATTCATTATGCTGAATCCAAAAATCCACACTAGAGAGCCCTATTCACTATGCTGAATCTGAAAATCGACGCTGGAGTGCGCAAAAATGGCGAAAAAGGGCCCTAGCGCAGGAGGGAAATTGTAGGTGGGCGGAGCCGTTCACCACTGTAGAGAGCGAAAACGGCGAAAAAGGGCTCTAAAGCCAGAAGGGAAATCAGCAGGGGGCGGGGCCTTCCGCGGGGCTATTCACGCTCCTAGCTTCCGCAGCGATTTTTTCGTTCCAGTACCCTAATATTCGTTACCGGCGAAGTACAACGCCGTGACTTGAAATTGGAACCGAGAAGATTGCTCCAGAAGCAATGACTTGAAATTGGAACCGAGAAGATTGCTCCAGAAGCGACACTTGAAATTGGAACCGGGAAGATTGCTCCAGAAGCTAGGAGCGTTAATCCGCCCCGCGGAAGGCCCCGCCCCCTGCTGTGTGAATCCGAGCCCTCGCCGTTTTCGCTATGGTGATTGGATTCAGCATAGCGAATAGGCCCGAGTAAGCACGAAATCTCAAAATCGAGTTTTTGCCCGGACACTGCCTATTTTCGGATTTGGCGTAGCGAATATGCCCGGGTAAGCACGAATCTCAGAGTTGATCTTTTGGGTGGACACTGCCTTTAAAAATCGACTTTTTGAGGTGGACACTGCCTTCAACTCTTTGAAGCGTAGAGCTGGAAGATCGCTTCCATCGCTGTTAGACAGACCATAA